ATATAGAGCAGTGATACATGTTTTCTGATATTGAAATCAATTTTCTTCTGGAAAAAGAAAGTTTTCTACATAAAAGCCTCAGTGGCCAGGTCCCAGAAAAAAAAGATGGCCAACGGCCCCAAATACAGATCAACCAAGCCATCATCTTGCACAGGGTACAGTAGAACTTTTACATGAGTAATTAAAGAATTACATGTTTGCAAAGTGCTACATTTTCACACATGTGCCCCCCCCCCCCCCAAGATGGTTTAATGGAGGGAATGACTTCTAATGAATGGAATTGCTCACACCAGGCTGTAGGCCCTGCTGCTCTGACAGTCATTGAATCATTTAGGTTAGAAAAGACCATTGAGATCATTAAGTCCAGCTCTAAACCCAGCACTGTCAAGTCCAGCAGAAACACTACAAAACCCAAATAAAACAGGAAGGAGGATACGGCTATGGAAGGGAGGGCTCTTCTTGTACACACCTAAACTGTAGAAGAAATACCTCTTGTGTCAAGATACCTAAAAACAGCTACTGCCAAAACAAATTCATTTGATGTCCACACTAAACACACATTGCAGCGTACTCTAGAATTGCAAAGGTAGAAACAAAGTAAAATACTTAGTCTTTGAAGGTCCCTAGAAGTCAACTAAATCAAAAAAATTGAACTCCTTCAAAATACAGCAGCTGGCTTCACTGTGTTTTTGCAAAACTCAAAATACTAAGATTTAATGGGATATATTCAGAGGTACTTCAGCACTGAGCCCTTCTGCTAAAATAGTGTTCTACTTCAGACCTAATCCTTCAATTTGATTTTACAGAAACTGAGAAATAAATTAGAACTTCTACATTGAGCTCATACATAAGCTGTCAATTTAAAGCTGCCTCTGGATTGGATCTTAATGGTGCTATACATGAAGTGAAAACACTATTGATTTTTTTTATTTGAAGAACAGTCAGTCAATTTAATAAAAAGTGTGCAGCTTGGACATAACATTCCATGCTTTGCAGGTAAGTTGGAAAAAAACTCCTTGATCAAGGTAAACCCATACAAAAACAGTCATTCAGTCTAATCTTCTAAATCAAGTTTCAGACAATAATATTCCAGCTGAGACTATGTCTAGCAAATTGCATTTAAATGGCCCACAAAAATCCATTTAGTCTTTCACTTGCCAAAGAGCAATGGGGGGCAGTAAAAACTCATGCGATCTCACATTTCCAACTATAATTGATTGATAGGATAAAGAATTGCAGAAAATGTCTGAGACTGGAAAGGAAGTAAAAGGCAGTGCATACTCAAAACTAAAGAAAACTGTATCCTCAGGAGACAGTGTGGAGGCATCAGTGTGCATGCACACCCACAGGCTACCAGGCTTCCTTCTGAGCCAAGCTGTAGCCAAACCAACAGGTCTCTCCAGCCTGTGATTTACACAGAGGACCAGACATCTGGGTTTTGCCACCTTCCCTTCACTGAAGTACACAAAGTGAGAGCCTCTGGACTCCAGTTTCAGTGCCTCTGGCACTCCTCTCAAGAGCATCACTGGTATGTCAAAGTCTGAATTTAAGAAGGTGCACAGTCTGCCAGGTACTGTCTGCTTTCCTCTATGCAAAAAAAACTAAAAACAGAGTAGTGGCTACCTCTCTGATGCATTACCGAGTGAAGCTCGTTTAGCTAAGGATACCAGCACACACTGTCCTTGTCTGGGGAAGATGTGCCCTTCACACAGACACACTCAATAGCATGGCCAACACTTTATCTCTCTGAAACATAAACTATTCCACAACTCTACAGATGCTCTAAATCCACAATGTGAGGGAGGGTACCATTATTTTGGCACTACCTGCACCACCCATGCCCATCAAGAGACTTAAATGATGTTACCTTAATAGGGCATCTAGAACTGGAACAACAAAAGCCATTTCAAGCATCTTGTAACTTATTTCTGGTACCTATTCTGTAGAGAAACATCACGTCTCTGAAACCTGACTGATAAGGTGGCTGCAATCATCAGGATGAAGAATGTGGTTTGATCACTTAAACTGATGGAAAGATAACACTTGCTGTCAGATACCTACTGAGGCACTCTGCTCTTCCAAGCAAGAATCCTGCTTGACATCTTTTTGCAGTTCTTGGGAATACGTAGCTGCCTAAGTAGTACTTTACATGACTGTTTCTCTGCTGTAGGTATCAGAGAAGATGGATCATTCCCACAAATGTCCTTTCTAGTTGTTGCAAGGCATTCATTCCATTGATCCAGCTTCAAGAAGTGCTGCGTCACCTGTCTTACAGAAAAAGAAGACAAGCTGTGCAGAACTGGAAAGAATTAGGTCTGTTTAAAAAGCTGGAAAGCAGAAGCTGTGAAATGCCTTCAGCCTCAAACAAATATTATGTTCTTCACAGAGCTGGGCACTCAGGAATGCAGCTGGCAATAGAAATTCAGAGGATGCAAAGAAGCTGTCTGCCACTTACTCAGGATCATTTCCCACGGCAAAGAAGGTGAAGAAGAGTTCACCTGCAATGTTTCCTAGTTCTTCCCACACCAAACCTAGCTGCATACAGCTCACCACACAACACATGGCTCCTTCACAGAACAACACACAGTGCTGTGAATTTACAATATAGGCAGAATTGGAGCCCTCTGTCACTGCAATAAACAGCCTCCAGTGAAAATAAAGATACCCTCTGTGCTGGGCAGACACTATTGTACCATGGCAAGCAAATACTACAGTGGATTAGGTAAATTTAATGAAAGGGTTAAAAAACATTACACAACCACCCCAAAACATGTAAGTGCCACTGCTTGTACAGCATCTAAAACAATCAGACTCCTGTTCTTAGCTGGTCCCTAGGCATCGCTTTGTAACTGAATGGTACAAAAACATTCAGCATTGTGTAAGAACAGAACTCAAGTCGTCTTGTGGAAAGCATGAGTCTTTATTACCAAGCTGAATCCTCCTTCAGTGTATGTCTACTGTTCATGAGGAAAAGTGACAGCATTAGTAAAAAATCCAGGCACAGAAGCTGATAAACGTGCCTTCAGTAACAGGACCAGTTTGAACAGTGCTTGTTTCTCTCCAGCTACTTCCATATCTCTAGTCTCACTTAACTTCACAGAATTCTTATGCTCCCTGGTTATGACATTCAAAATATCTGCCAGATTATGCAGAAATCCACATTAAGGTAATTTCTATTAAACTGGTCTACATTAGTAATTCTTCAGGAGAAAGAAATGGTAAGAAAGTAGCAATAGCACAGGCTGAGGAAGAAGCTACTTCCGAATCTGTTGTCAAAATAAGTATTTGTCAAATCACACTATTCCAGGGCACAGAAAAATTAGGCTAACAACTGAAATTGCCTCCAAGTATAGAATACACAATTACATTGCTCTGAACTCTGATTTCATATGTGAGCTCATAAAAACAATTTTACTACAGCAACTACTGGCCTGCATTTAAGCCTTCCTCACTAATGAATTAATCAGCTGCAAAGTAGTGGTGAAGATTTCAAGGTCAACATTAATATTCACTGTCTCAATAAAGGGCTAAATTAAGAACATAAATCATAGAGATTAGTACAGGACTATTTTGCACTATCTTATTTGAATCCAAGGGAAAAAAAATGCTTTACAGACTGAAGTAGAAAAGAAATTCAGAGCAATTATTAAGTACTGACTTCAGAGTTTCCACTATTCTTTTGTGGTTTCTTGTCTTTTTCATTCCTGGCTGTCATAAGGAAAATAGATTTCCTAAATTTTTTTGTGTCCTCATAATTCACATCTTTCAGATACCTGAAAACTTTTGAATCTAAGGTTCAGAGAAACATGAAGTCTTGTTTTCAACTTATAATTAACTATTTATTTGTATGTTGTTAAATTTATTGGCTGGACTAAAAAGCACAGATTCTAAAGCAGTATTTCTTATTGTTCGTAAATGCCAGATATTCATTCTTGGTATGGAATTATGCATGCCCAAAACCAGAACTCTAGTGATTTATGTGGTCATTTATTACTTACATGAACTGCTTTTACTGAACAGATTCTACAGTCATAGACTTGCCACACTAGAACTATTCAAAAGACCGACTTCCTTTAACCATAAGAAATAAAATAAACTGAAAGCAATCAGAGCTTGTAACTTAATTTGTAGTGACAAAAGTGTAAGAAATCAGAATTATAACTCGATTACTACCAAGTAAAACCAAATCATTACGACAGTTAAACAGAAATACTAGTTAAGGCATATAAATGTACAATTTTTACAAATCCTTATGGCTTACATCATTAAACTATATACAGTTATTTCCTGTCAGTCTTAAAAGACACTATTATAAAACTTAGGGCAAGTAGACTCACATTTAACAGAGCACACCTGCTCACATGTAAGAAGTCAGAAAGGAAGAATCAGCATTTGTCTGTTCACAGAGCAGTTAGTACAACATTGTACTGATACTGACAGACATGACATCTCCTTCCCCTGGTCATCAAAAATCCAGCCCTCGGTGATGACAGACTCCAGTAATTGAGGTGAGGTGTATTGACCTAATTGAATCTGTCAGGTCAGCATGTCCACAGCTACACTTTTGTAAAACTTGTCTCAACTTACATTTTCATGGTGTTCACAGAACATGAAGAGAATTTTGACTGATATTTGACCTAAACTGTATGCCAAAAAGCTTCCATCAAGCATATCCTTCAAATATAACTGCAAAATAATATCACATAAAACCTTAAGTATAAAAAGCCTTTGCTGCAAAAAATGGCATTAAAACACATAAAAAATTACTCCTAACTCTCTACATTTGGGTTCTGCAGAAGTACTTAAATGCTTTGTCACAAATTCAAATCAGAAACTACCACAGGTAGACGCAAAAACTGTTTAAAGGAGAACTGCTTTTGGATTTCTAGCAGACCAATGCTACTCTACACAGAAGGAACGAGGAGGAGAGTTTCTTCTTCTGAAAACTGCTAGGATTCTGCTGGGGGGCCTGACCTGGGTAATGAGTACCAGCTGCCTACCTTCACTGGTAGCTGCATTCTTCTGGGCTTTGGTGGGTGTGTGATCCGTACTTGAACTCACGTCGGATGAGATGCTTGAGCTGCCCTTGCCTGCAAAAGGAGAAGGAGGTGGAAAGGGAGGGAGGGAGTGGGGGTGGGAGAGAGAACAAACATGAGTTCAAACTCTGAAATAGAAAGACCTTCAATATCTGAACCTGGAACAATTCCAGGAAACTTTAAACTAGGTTTAGAGCAGCTGATGTTCATTTTGTACACATCAGAATAGGAATTCACTGCACTGTACCTTCTAGCATGTGCATCTTCACAGGTATTAAGGCTGCAAATAGTCTCCTATGTCACAGGACCTCTCACTACATATTTGCTAAGCTCTGTTGAAAATTAAATGTTTGTTATTAAAAACATTAGGGGAACTTAAATGTTCAGTTTACTCATTCAAATGCCTCTAACACAGATCAAGAAAAATGGTTACATTCAAGATATGTTAAATGAGTTTAGCTTTCTGTCTTATGTGTTCACAACATGTATTCAAGTCATTTGGTCATGTGAATATGAAAGCAAGGTATCTGTTTTCTCCTTCACCATACTCACTGCATGATGTAATACACCATTTCAAAATTAACTTCTCACTAATGGTGGAGGGGTTTTAACTGTAAATCATAACCTATGGATGTTTCTTCTCTTATTTTCTCTCTTAAAAGCTTTTCCTGATTCTCCTACATCACTGTCTTCAGACATATTTGCAGGATGTCAAATTCTAGATACAAGTTACAAACAAAAGAAATGCAAATACATATTAAAAATTAACCTATATAGATACTACAGAAGAACAGAGTTTGCTAAATCAAAGCTGTCTTTTTGTTTTCCTGTGAGGACCCAAGAAGGAGTCACTTCTGTTTCCCTTCACACATTTTACTCAATCTCAGTAATTACTAACAAGGAATACTGCTCTACTCTGCAGCAGGAACCAGACCAACCACCCAATGGGCAATAAGTGGGATAATTATAGAAAGAAGAAATACAGTGAATACTGTTACATTTTAAGAAGTTATCTATCCCCACAAACACTGCATCAGTGAAGCCTTTAAGACCTATTTATTTTTTGACCAAAATGAATCTGTAGGCAGAAAGCTAGCTGACACCAAGTTTCTGTCACTTGAGTAAACCCATAATCACAGGAATGTTAGCAAGAGACTTTTCTGATCTGTTATTTCAATCAAGCATTCCTTGGGGTTCTGGGTTACAGTATGCCTGGTTTTCATAACATGTAGATGTAAGGGAGAAGTCTGCTTTTTAAAGGTGCCACAACAGAACAAGGATTTAAGTTTTAATGGGAAACAACTGGAGAATGTGCAAATGTAGGTTGTTTCACAACCAAGATACTGCCACTTAATCTGTCAGCCAGCCCTAGAGAATCATCCTCCACAGAAAGCTGCTTAAATTAACATGCTTAGATTTGAGAGATTATTATGAATTTAACTGGAGTGAAAGGATATTAAAATGGCCAGAAGAAAATAAAAAAAAAAAATAAATGGCTAGAGCTAGTAGCTGTGCAGGGTGAAGAGAAAGAAAAAAGTGTATTTCCAGTGATTCACTAACTGCTTTTTACATTCCTTTAAGAAGTTAAGCAAAACCAAGCAGCAGCCCTTCCAGAATATCTTCAATTGCTCTCAAGCTGTGACATGAGTTGGAGTAATAGACTGTGGTCTTTATAGAAATTACTGCCCCAAAATAACTCTACAGCTAAGGCAATGAGGTTTGTGGTAGCATAAAGGTAGAAGATAAAAGGGAAGGGTAGATGGTAAATGCTCTACCCCAAGAAGAGGCCGAAGAACAAGAAACACCTGCAGCAACTGATAATCAAATCACTACTGACAGGTACTGAAAGGTATTTAGTTGGTATTGCCACAACCAGCAACTCTTTATGTATCAAAAACTGCAACTGCAGGGGCAGAAAATAAAATTCTAAGGAGTACCAGCACTCCTTAACAGATTAATAGAAAGAAAACAAAACTAAACAGACTAACTGGAAAAATTATTTCCTCAAAGCAGATAAACAGGATTTCCTCTAAAAAAGAATTTATCTTGTTGTGGGGGAGGGAAGAGGGAAAGGAAGTCAGTGATACCAAATAACAGCAGAGTTGCAAGATGGTCATATCTGCAATGGGTTGTTTTCACAAAGTGAATGCTTCCCAGGTTCCATACCTCCCCATTAACAACAGCAGCTCTGTTTAGCCCAAATATAAGCCCACCTCAAAGAGCATACCAAAATATTTTACCCACTGTAAGCTACTACTAATTGTCAGTACACATAGTAGCAACATATTTACAATTGCACACTTCTGTAGAAATTGTGAAATGCCTGATGTAAGTGTAGATATTTATCATTTAAATCTACTTAAACTTTAAAACATTTTAATGCCTTTCAAAAATTTAAAACTAGAAATTAAGAAAAAAAAAACCTCACAGTTGCTGCTTTGGTTTGGTACAGTTCTGCCTGTAATTATATTTTTGTATGGAGTTCTCTGACTGCATGCAGCCCCAAAACTAGCCTTTTTCCTTATTGTCAACACTGAAAATCTCCACTCAGATAAGAGGAAAGCAGAAGGTACATTCTAGTAATTTTCAATGTGTTTCAAATAGACTAGCTGACACTATATATCTTTTTTTTTTTTTGGGGGGGGGGGGGGGGTTCAGTGCAAAACAAAGCTTCAAGTAGGCTAGATTTTTACTGCAGACTCATGTACACATGCCAGAGTTAAAACATAACAGTATTTAAGTATTCTCCAAAGAGGAAAGGCTAGGAGAGCAGCAGCTGTTCAGCCTGGAGATCATAGTTGGCCTCTTCTCCCAAGCAAGAAGTGACAGACAAGAGGAAACGGCATCAAGTTGTGCCAGGGGAGGTTTGGGTTCGATACTAAGAAAAAATTTCTGCACTAAAAGGGTGTTCAGGCATTGGAACAGGCTGCTCAGAGAAGTGGTGGAGTCACCATCCCTGGTGGTATTTAAAAGACCTGTAGATGTGGCGTTTGGGGACATAGTTTAGTGATGGACTTGGCAGCACTGGCTTTGCAGTTGGACTCGATTGTAAGGGTCTTTTCCAACCTAAACGATTACATGGAATATTAGAATCACAGAAATTCAAAGACTGCTGATTTCCCTAATGCCATAGGGAAAAGTTAAAGCACAGAATAATGTTGGTTTCCAGAGACCAGTCCTTCTCCAATTTAAAAAGTGCACTGAGAAAGTCATTGCACATAAATTTACCCTGACAAGGGTTCTAATGCAATGACAACCAGAAGGATCAAACAGAGGGCAATATTGCAAAGACTACAGCAGTAATGACTGTATTTGATCCTCTGCTTAAACAAATTAAAGGCCTGCCAAAAGCTTCCCTAACATGACTTTCAATCATCTAGAGTTTCCTTCATACAGTCAACAGTTCTTTATTTCTAAACGAGAAGCTGCAATCCAAAAGAAAGGAAACTGCACTATGGTAGTACGTAAATATGATAGAAGAAATCAACTTTCTTAGAACACAACATATTTTACACTGGAAGTGAAGGTACCATGTACTTCACAACACCTGCAAAGAATCACACAGCCACACAGTTGCACTTCAAATCATGTCTCTGACCTGCTTCTGAAGAAGCAAAACTAGGGATTTTTTTTCCATCTACTAGTGCCAAAATCTTACAATAGTCGTAGGAACAAGATTCCAGCTATCTAAGCTAGTATGCTATTTCCTGCAGATTAGATTTTGATCCTGCTGGAAAGAAAGCTAGAATCAGCTAAGCGTATAATATAACAGATACTTCTCCTCAACATTGTCTTCAGCCCTTTGTAACCCACGGAACTTTTTCAGCCATAAACGTCTTTACACAGAGTAGCCCTACAGCCTTATTAAACTTACCTTGTCTCTTTTTGAATCATGACTTTTAAAATCATGTGTTTAATTTTCTTTTTATCATACAGATGCCTATAATGACTACAACATTATGTTTATTTTATAAAAGTTTGCTACCTTCAGTTTTGCAAACTTTGGGTTCTTGCAGTCACACTCACTGCTGACAAGTATCAAAGACATTCCAAGTCAGTCAGAACAGAATCAATGCAATTTATACTCCCATGGGAAAGCACAGTCTATAACTGTATGACACTGAAAAACTAGTTTTGGAACCACATATGCAAAGCCTGTCCTAGTCTGAACAGCAGTGAGTCCCCTTCACTTGCTCTGGAACAATTTTACTAGGTTTTTATGCAGCACATTTGTCTTGGATTCTGGTGTATGAGCATTTGCAAGCTGTATTTTACACATCCTTCTAAGATCTAAGATAAAGACAGGCTGACCTGACCATTGTTTCTTATGTGTCACCCTGGAAAATAACAGCAGTCCTTCTCTTGACATCAAGTTTTTATGTGATGACGTCTTTCTTCAGCAGGCAATGACAGGTACCTCAGGAATGAAATGGATAGTAGGGTCAAATCCACTGCTTGCCATGCTGAGGTGAAACATTCGATAAAATGCCAAAACAGAAAAACAAAATAATAATTTAGGAAAAGAGAACAGAAAACAATTAAGTCCAGAATATCCATTAATCTTTTTAACTGTCCAGAAGTGTTATATTACAATGACTTTGATGTAAAGAAGTCTGAAAATTTTGTTTACTTAAGCCACCAATTCTTATCCAAATTACATTATTCAAATTAAACCTCTCAACATGAAAGTGCATATGTGCATGGTTTTCCAACCAGATGATCATTACTTTCTCTTTTATATCTTCAGAGAAGTTCTTTTAAAATCAAATACATGCCAACCACATCAAGAAAAGATCCAGAAAAAAAAAAATCAATCCAAACCTCAAAACATCAGGGATCATTCAACAGGAAAGAAAAATCTCTTTTCCTTCTCTTATTTCCATGACACACATTATGCTGGTCCAAGTCACCAAAACCTCAAACATATCTCCTTACAATCTGCCCCTCCAAAGACTGCAGACTCCCAGTATGTTTCCAAGTATTCCCATGGAAATCAGCAACTTAGTGCAGTACTTAGGCTTTGTGGATATAAAGCATCCTTTAAAGATGCAATA